AGTTGTCGAAGTCGTAGTGTCGGTACTCTGGCTCTGCTTCATCCAGCCAGAATACTTTGATGCCTTTCTTGTAGTAGTTCTGCTTCGCTTTGTTCCACACATAGTCCCGCGCAGCAGGGTTCGTTGAATCAAAATGAATCGTTTGGCCTTGGAACGTCATGGCTGTTCGTACACCACGCTCAGTCCGGATGAGCAGACCCTTCTCGACCATTTCCTCGTAGTTTTCTGATCGACGGTCTACAGTTGGCCAGATGGATATCATGAGCTCGATCTTCAGCTCTTCGAGTTCTTTGACCATGGCATCGGGATCGGGCCAATACTTTGGATCGAACTTCCAGTCTCCTTGCATGGTCCAGTGGAAGAAGTCGATTACGATGAGATCAATAGGGAGATTCCGTTTCCGGTACTCGCGTGCGACTTGAAGAAGTTCTTCTTGGGTCTGGTAGCGCAGCTTGCATTGCCAGAAGCCTAGACCGTATTCTGGCATCATTGGTACCTGAAGTAGCTTGTCTTTAGCTTCTCACTCACCTCATGGCATGAACATTGGGACTTACCTTCCCAGTGGCATCGGCATACGACTCGACAATCTGCGCTGGTGTGTCGCCAGCTACAACCCAGTAATCCAAGACTTTGGTCGACAGCGCCTCGAAACTCATGATGTTCTTGCCAAACACCACATTGCCAATCGACGGGTTGTTCCACAAGAAGCCATACCCAAGCGATGAGACCGCAAAAGGTACGCTAGCCTGGGAGTTCCGGTGCGCAAGTTCCAGTTGCGTGCCCTTAATATCAAGGTAAGGTTGCTGATACTGTCCCATTCCATAGATCTTCTCCTTGGGATCCAGACTCTCGAATCGAGCGGTAAGCTTGTAGTCGCCTCCATGAATAGGATAAAATTCCCGGGCTTCGACTTCCAGTGCGCTGCATTTGGGGTCGACAATATCGCGGCGGTTACGGGCGTATTCTTCTAAGAGAACTTTACCGCTGGTGTTTGAGATGGTGATCTTGCCTCGCTTGCTGATGGTGGCTTTGACGAGGCCATTGGTCAGGGTCGCTGACTCGTCGTTGTTGGCAAGGTCGATGTTGGCAGAAATCTTGGGCTGTGGAAGGAGCGCCCAGTCTTCATGTGGCATGGTGGGCATCTTGGTGGAACGAACGCGGACTGCGTTCTTGCCCCAGGGCTCGATCCATAGCTGCTCGGCATCGTATGTGAAAACAAGGCGGTTGTCCTTTGATGTGAACATGATGTAGTTATCGGATTAGCCGTGCAAAGCTTACGGATACGTGTAGCTGCCCCAGAGATGGAGGGGCATAGACACGTCTTTTACATTGTAGCAGCTCCACGTACGCTTACCGATGCTACGGGTACTCGCGATTGGGAAACCCGCCGTTTGCATTTCCCCGGTGGCACGTTTCGTGAGTGAAGTCATACAACCTTCCAAGTGTGTGGAGAGGGGCTTCTCCATCGGAGTCTCCACCGGGATACGCGCCGCGTGCTAGTCCTGGACACGTCGATCTGGCGGGGTTGGCCTTGGCATGGGGAACGCCTCATTAATGAACAACGGCATGTGCATGGATTCCTACACTATGCCGACAGCTCCACCTATCGTACTGAATCGTAGTCTGATTTTACTTCCGCCAATAGGTCTGGACAAACTCATGTGCCCAGTCGATCACCCCGGCCTTCCAATCGCCCAAGGATTCTTCGACGAGCCCTTCCCATTCTCTCGCTGCCTCGTCTTCACCCTTGGCACCACCAACACCCTTTCCTAACCACATACGCTCTTGGACCTTCCTTACGCTACCTTCCCTCTCTACCTTGATATCGGGGATGTTGGCTCCCTGCATAAGAGCAAAAAGGTTGAGTATGAGGTTCGAGGACTTGCGCAAGGTAGACCATGCTGTGTAGGAGTACTCTTTGAAGACAAGATAGTTTGGGTGCTGCACTCCACCCATGCCTTCAATCATCTCGCGACAAAGCTTCATAGCTGGTGCGAAGGGCTTTGGGTCTCGTCCCAAAATGTAGCCGAAGTCTACGTGGAAGAAGGCACCCGATGGAGCGAGCAGGAGGTTGTCAAGATGGCGATCGCCAACACCCAGAAGGTAGGTTATTACACAGTAGCCAGCGCAGGACTTGATGTAAGTGTCCATTGCCTCCTTCCGAACGCCGAGTGGTGCGCTATCGTCAGGGTTATTAGCGCGCAGGTAGGCCAGTAGGGAGCCCTTGTGCTTCTGGCACGCTGCTGCAATGCTCATCGAAGGCACGAATTGGAAGGCGCCAGCGGAGGTGGAAGTAGCGAGAATACGGTAGGGTGTTAGCTTGAGATCCAGATTCTCTTTGCGAAGAAGTCGATCCATCAATGTGATGATTTGAATGACGAGTTGATCCTGCCGTAGGTCATCGCCAGTCTTGAATATGATTGGATATGGATTCGACGTTGTGGTCTTGAAGGAGAGCACCATAGGTAGCAACGATGATTTTAGAACATTGCAGTCTTCCGTTGATATCCCGGTGATGTACACAGATGGATCGAGGGGCAGAGGAAGTGGGTCAAAATTGGTGAGTTCGTTCTTGGGGTCAGCAATCGCCTTCTTGAGACGGGCAAGCTTGGTAGGCCGATCCCCTCCACCGAAGCGCACATCTTTCGATATTTTGGCCAAGATGGTGAGCAGCTCGCCCTGACGCTGGAAGGTCTTGCGGGTTTCGACACCTTCAGGCGTCTTCTCCAACTCGACCATAAAATCGTATTCGACCTTGGCAAAGAGTTCACGATGCTCTGGCTCCTGATCGGTGCTGAAGTCGCTAATCTCCACCATGAGGTACCAATGTAGGAAGTTGCCCAATGTGAAGCTGTTGGCTGCACGAGTGACCAGGAAACGTGCTAGTGACGAGTCGTCACCTTCGCCTGGTGCCTCATACTTGAGTGCCTGCACCAATTGTAATAGGTAGAGCTGGAGCTCTTCGTCGTCGGCCTTCTTCAACCGTTCGACAGCGTAGCTTCGTACTACGGGGTGGTCGAAGTGGGGTCCAAGAAGTTCAAGCGCGTCGTCTACATCTATTTCTGCCCACTTGTCGAGCAAGGGTGCAGCTTGCCGGGCTTCTCGTGGGTTCTTCCAGTTAACGCACTTGACAAACTTGGTCAAGGCCCGCTTGTCACGTAGCAAGAAGTATCGGAACTTCCAGATATCGTCTCGCTCGTGTGATGTGATTTCCTCGAGCGGTCCCTTAGAGAGCAGTAGATTGAGCTTGTCTCGAACGTGTACGTTGGGCTTACGGTCGCGATCGAGTGAATCGGTCTGCTGGCTGCGCATCAACTCGCGATGCTTATCTTCGGCAGGGTTCACCCGTCGGCCGACTTCAGGGTCGTAGATCTTGATGAGCCGTCCTGCATCTGCATCGCCGTATCCAATACCGTCGATGTCGATACCTGGTCCAAATGACACTTCGGGTGGAGGACGCAGCCTCACATCGGCTTCGGCTGGCAATCGCAAGTCTGATACGGGGGGCGGTGGGTATTCGACGTCGGAGAAGACGATCGCGTGGTCGAAGCGGGGCAATTCGATGTCGAGATAGAAGAGCTCCTGGTCTTCGCCGTCTGCAGAGCCGTTCGTCCCATTCGTCTTGGCCTGGCGGTTCAAAGCCGCAGCCTCGGCCTTGAGCGCCTCTTTCCGTATTTGCATCATCTTCTTGTATACCAGTCCGTCGAGCCAGTTGTTGGTCGGCAGATCGCCCATCTCCTGCTTCTTCAGCAAGCCTTCTAGCCTCTCCATCTCGGCGACCTGCTCATCCACGGTATCTTCAACGACCTGCGCCTTTCTACTTTTACGCGCCGGCGGTATTACCCACGGCGTTGTAGTGTTGGTCAGGCCATCTGCTGCCTTGAAGCGGTGTATCCGACAGCGTTGCCTGCCCTTGTGGAGCGTGTTGTCGTTGTCGAAGAGAGGTATCGTCGTGCCACCAAAGGGCACGGCATGGAGACTCGAGTCGGTGTCTTCGGCGGGTGACAGATCCCATATTGTGATGGCAATCTGGGCGGAGGCGGGGAGGTTCGCATACGTCACGGGGAGCTGCAGCCATTCGTTCCAGATGCGCGCGTTCTTGAAGGACTTGTAGGCGGTTTGGACGGGCACGGTGAGGGGCTTGCTATCCGCCCATATCTGCGCAGTGACATACAGCTCGAAGTTCGGGCTAGGCACTTGTCAGTAATCACCCTCCTCTCTCACCAGGTGAGAGGCGACCCACTTGATATTCGAAGCTCGGTGCCTAAGGTCCGGCCTCTTCAACAACACCGAGTACGGGATGGGCTTCTGGTTCCCATCAAGACGATCTCTGCATTACTCAGCACGACTTCAGTAATACTACAGCGAGGATGCCTACATTCTAACATGGACCGCCAACTCGGTCAGGTCGAGAGACGTCGCAAAGTTGAAGGCTTCCATCGTGCGCGGTGGGAAGCTGGATGCTACGGCATGCCATGGGTGTGAGGCATGTGCAAGTCTTATCGCCTACCAGCACATGACAGGTTTCGAGGGTGCTAGCGGGAACGCCCGTTCATCGCATCGTCTGGCGGGGTGAAGGAGAGACACTCGCACTGCGCACTGGATGAAGCCATGCGGGTCAGAAGCTCCACAAGCCGACGCGCATGCAGGGGTCCGCGAATGGAAAGAGCCCTTTCGCGTGCTGCACGGCTTGGCTGACGAGCGCGGTCGCACTTGCCTCTAGCAAGTCGCGCTAGCCTCTGCACATTCGGCAACCGCGTCCCAGGCACAGGACATCGCCCGCATCACCACCACCATTGCCCTGCCATACCCCTCCAACACGCCCTTAGTCCCTTTCACTTTCACGACGCGGCATGGCGCGTCTCAACACACACCTCTCGGCTACCCCCCAGACACGCGCTTCCACCGTCGACTCTCTTTATCGCGACCCCTCTGTGGCGCCCCGGAATGACAGTAATGCGCGCACCACATCATATTCCGTTCTCAGCCCGACGCGCTCAATGAACTCGGACAAAGAAAATGAGCAGCCTGAGACACGCGCAAACACGCCGCGACGAGGCAAGGCTGGCGGCATGCGCAGCGCGTCGGTGCGTATGCCGACGCCCGACTCGGGCTCAACAACTGGTAACGGCAGCAAGAGGAGGAGAACCGATAACTACGCAATGGCTCAGCCGCACATTTACGAAGATGGAAACGACGAGCAAGAGGAGGAGGAGGAAGAGGACATGCACGAAGTGGAAACGCCCTCGCAGCCCCCACCCGAGTCAGATGAGGAAGGCGACCAGAAGTACTACAACCCAAACCAGAACCCCGAGCAGCGAAGGAGACTGCGAGCAAACATGCGCGATAACCATCGTATGCTGGAAGGTGAGTCGAGCATCTTGGTCCACGTCGCATGAATATGACTGACCACAGCAGATAATCGCGATGACTATGTCAAATCACGCGACAGCGGACTGCTTGATGCTATCAAGACACAAAACAGCTTGTTCGGCAAGGTGCGACAAACGGCTGACGCTACCGTTGACTCCCGCTTCCTCGTCAGCGCCAGCGACCTAGCAGGCAAGAAACTCAACAACAGCTTAGGCAACTCTGGTGTTGGCATCGATCTGGATCAATTCGTTTCAAAATGCATATACTTTATGAAATCCGGCGGTTACATCGCAGGCGAGGAAGACGCACCCGCACTAGCCGTAGGCGATGACGACGAGGAAGATCCAGATGGGCTCGACTGGGCATTACTGGGTCGGCGAGCATGCTTCCCGCGCAACAGGCGACCGCCAACATCAAGTTTCCTGCTTGGCCCACTCTCAGTTCAGAGGCGCGTTCGTGTGACTCAAAAGAAAGCTCGATCGCAACGGCAACCTCTTGGTCCAGCAACTCGACCCCAGGAGATTCAGACCAGTGACATTCAGCAAAATGAGAGCAACAACTTGACGACCTTGGTTAAAGGTATCAGGTCACGCTTGGAACAGCATATCACAGTTTCCGAAACGTTGGTCGAAGAAGAACTCTACGCAATGCCAGGAGATGAGATACCTGACGACGTTAAAGCCGCTGCTCTTGTACGCCACAGAATTGCCATGACCAACGAAGACGAAACCGCAGTCAACCTGCTTGATTTTGCAATAAACCCTCACGACTTTGGGCAGACGGTTGAGAACCTTTTCTATATCAGTTTCCTGGTAAAGGAAGGAAATGCTAAGATAGTCAAAGACGCACATGGACTTCCGCTACTTTGTAAGTCTGCGAGTTCAATGGAGTCGTACATATACTAACTACTACCAGTACCTGCAGCACCCAGTGGCGTCTCAGAACACCGAGAGAGAGACGTACAAAAACACCAGGCCGTGTTCAGCCTCGACTTCCCTTCCTGGCGGATGTTCATTGAAGCGTATGATATCACAACGCCGCTCATACCACAGCGCGAAGTGGAAGAGGCAACTGTTGGCGCCAACGGCTGGTACAACGGCTGAGCTGTCGTTGCCCAGTTTTTCTGGCATCCGTTTCGCTTCTACGTTACATTTTCAACCTGCACGATTCCACACACTCGCCCAAGAGGGCGACGTCTTGGTGTTTTTCACTGTTCACGACGTGTCTGCACGACACCTTTCTTAAGCGGCGTTCAATCGAGTCAGACACGATGGACGATGATGGGCGGTATTTGTACCGTACCTTTTTTTTTTGGTTTTCACATTTCCTTTGGCTTTGCCAACATCTCTTTTTACGCTTTAGTTCTAGCACCTGATACCCCAAGATTTTTATTCGGATCTTCTAGAGGCATCTTTATGTAGTCGGAATGCAACTTTCGCGATTTCTAAAGGAAGACCCCGAGAAACTCTGTCGCTGTGTTTACCCGTACAGCCTGATTGACCATGTCATGATAAGAGCGGAGAGGTGGCTCCGAAATCCGGTGGTTTCTTCGGGGGCATGTTACCCCAACCCCATCCATATTGATATCGATCTTCATTCATGCATGCCAATTTTCGTCCTCATGCAGCAGTCTTCGTCCTTATTCGGAAGGAACTTACGGCTATAAGCTATATCCATCCTCATACGGTGTTTGCCATCTTCGATTGCTTCCGCGCCCTCCCGGACTCTTGTCTTGGTACTGCGATGGAGTGACGATGTGCTTCCTTATTACAAGGTGTTGAGTAAGACACTGGCCTTGTGACCGTCAGCTTGTTTCACACCAACTGTATGTAGAATGGAAGTATTTCTGCGACCATGCACTCCAACGAAGGTTATCATTTGAACGCAATCCTGGGGCTTACTGGCTGGTCTTTAGCATATCCTATCGAAACCGCTATCGTTTCTCTGACTCCCACTACACTGGTAGAAACGCCTTGCTTGAAGCCATAGCGTTTGACTACATATGCACTTAGAATTGAATAGTGATCAGCATAATCTCTAAGAGCGAGGCTCGCAAGGCTTGCATGGATGGTCCGAGTTGCTCGTCGGAGTTAACTCCAGCAGTCGGGTTCAACGCGCCGGCGGGTGTCAACATGCGCAAACAAGAGCGCAAGAAGTCAGGCTCGTAAACATTCACGGAGGCCAAGCAATCCGGAGCTTCCCAAGCTCAAGTAGTCCTGTTGTACGATTCTCAAGTAGGCAGGTGGTGATCGGCAGGATTAGTTTGCTGATGGTTGGGTATCGATCTTGCAATTTCAAGCTGGCCCAGATGCAAGTCAGCAAAGGAGATGAGTAATGGCCTTGGCTTCTTCATTCGCCTTTGTCATCAAGCGTTCATAGGGATGACTGAACGATAGCTTCGTCCTGTGACAGGCGGGTTCGGTCCGACATATGGTTCTTAGCGTCCGCACGTCTTGTGGCAGTACTTGTAGCCTAGAGCTTATTTGGCTCGCGAACCCAAACGTTGTTGGTGGAAGTTAGGAATAAGGGGGTTTGGGGGCTCATCTTTGGGTTGGCCTTGGCGAGCGTCCGGACGAATACAGTCCCCTCCCTGGTAGATGTCGTGATGCTTGGCGTCCATCTACTCAAAATTCCCAATGTGCCAGATGTGCATGACCTCGGGATGTTCCAGGACCTCAGCGCTACCTAGGTACCTTGCCAACAGTTTCGTTGCCCGACTATGCCAAGGTGCCCACTCTTCAAGCTCTCCAGGGCTACCTCTGGGGTCCAGCGTCATCCTCTCGCATGTACGATACTGTACACTCGAACATCGCGATGCCGTAAGCATCGAGTTGGGCGCCTTACTGAAATTGCAAACGCCTGTTCGGCTGATCAGTACACGTGGTGTGGGACCCTTGATCGATAGCGCGCCCTTAGCTAGCCAAGTGTTCAACGTTCTCACCAGCCTCATCTTACAATTTCTCCGCTGCACGCATGCGGCCGTTGTACGTATGCTTGATCGACAAGCATTTCTTGGTTTCATAGGTTTGAGGCCTTCGCAGCTGCGGTGAGAAGGATGACGTGGAGCTCGCTTCCCCGGATCTTCGCAGGTATAGCACCGAGGAGACTCGGGATGCGTAAACACCGTCAGGCCATAATTGCTTGTCGTTCGCATGATCAGCATACTCACATATACAGATACTAGCCACATATCAAACATAACGATGTTTTAGCCCAGACCTCGGGGCAGTTGTTCGCAGACCTCTCCTTGAGGCTCCGAAACGCGTCGATGGACGGCGAATAGCAATCGTCGGTCATTCTCCGGACACGGTGCACTGGCAGCCGTTGAAAGCCGCTGTCACTCATTCTGAATCAGGACGGCAGGTGAAACGCTATGGTACCGCAAATTGGCCGTAGCCTTGCCCATGCTCTTGGAAGATCACGTTGATGTTTGAGGCCCAACACGCGACCCCAGGCCATCGGGTTCGTGATAATCGATCAGACCAATCGGCCGATTTCAGGCATCTCCCGTGCTCGCGCACGCTGCTCCAACAGGTGCGAGGATCTGCATCTTGCGCACGAAGCGTTGAAGTTATGCCGATATGTCCTTGCTCGACTTTGCTTTCGGTGTGATGCGGTGGCTTTGGCGAGCTTCAGATGGAGAGACAGGAGCTTATACTTTCTTTCCAAGCCTCAACTCTAGATGGGATCGACAGTAGTGCGGTCGCACCCGCGAACGCCGAAAAGCGCGAGCCTCGAGTAATTGTGGATATAGATCGTAGCGACCGCCACGCTTTCCAGGTTGTCAATCCTTCAGTCGTTTTTCGTTTGTTAGTTCCCCCGTCCGTTCACGATCCACTTGTGTGGTGACTCGTGTCGCCAGTCTTTCCTTAACCTCTCCGATCATGGAAATCATGATGTCCGAAACATACTCCAACGGGACTCCTTCCTCGTTGGAAGATCCGCACCCGATGGTGGAGCTGGCTCCACCACTCAACTCTCCTCCAGTCTCAGAACCACACCCTATATACGCACCTATCACTGGAGATGCATCCGGCAAGAGGCCATCCGTGCCTTCAATCATGGGGTACCGCTCTAGGTCATCAACCCCAGGCACATCAGACCCTTCGAAGCGCGAATCATACAACCTCGCCGGCAGCACTTTCCTCATCACGAACGATGGAAGAACGCTCAAACTCCCTATGCCATCAAATTCCAAAGCCGATCCTTTGAACTGGGGCAGGTGGAAGACAGCCGGAGCGCTGTTCGCATTAGCTCTCTATTCTATTATCTGTCTCACTGCGGCTCAAGCAGCGTCAGTCATACTCGATAGTATCCAAGCAGATTTCCAGGATGAGGTAAGCTGCATTCTATAGCTACCTGAGACGAATACCGCTCACATACTACATCTAGGACATACCAAATTATCAGATCAAGGCGTTGGTTACAGGCCCGACCATGCTCATGGGCATCGGGTGCTTGATGTGGGTCCCAGTATCAATCGGGTTGGGTCGCCGACCTACGATCTTGATCGCGTCCCTTGTCGAGCTGGGTGCTATTATATGGGCTGGTCAAGCGAAAAGTTTCTGTTCGCTCGTGGCCGCAGTCTGTTTCCTCGGTTTGGCAGAGGGCCTTGCGTTGTCTCTTGTAAGTCGGGTTGCAATCTTCCTATCAATCCATCTACTAATAATATCAGGCCTTTCTAATGGTCATTGACCTCACATACATCAACCAGAGATCGGTAGCAGTAGCTCTCATGTGGTGCATGGCAGGATGCTTTGGCACTTCAGGCGTTGCACTGGTACCTGTCTTGGCCGACCACGGAAACAACTGGCGACGATTCTACCACTACTGGACCATTCCCGTCGTCATCTCACTCGTCGTCACGTTCTTCCTCTATCCGGAAACATACTTCAAGAGGCCGACTGTAGCTTTCAACGGGCTCATTCTGTTGCAGAGTGCCACCGAAAAGCTGACAGTCTACGAAGATCGCGAGAAAGACTCCGAGATCTATCGCGACCTTCCCGAATACCCGCTGCGCACCGGGTTCGCGGGTTTCCGTGATCGGGTCGGCCTATCACGCTCACCCTTCGCATCATGGGCTTCGGCGGGTCGTTGCGTCATACAGATGGGTTACTGTGCCGTCAACCCACTCATCTTCTGGGTCTTCATTGCCTCTGCCTTCAACTCGGCAAGCATGATCTTCATCGGCGCAACGTACGCACGCGTTCTTGTCGCACCGCCTTACAACATACCACCGGGCCTTGTTGGCACCGTCAACGTCGCATCCGGAGTCGGAGCCCTATGTGGCTTGCCCATCTTCGCCATCCTCTTCGGCAAGGTGCTGAAGCGGCTATCGAGCCGCAACAAAGGTGTCCTAGAAGCCGAGCACTACCTCGTCAGCTACATCCTACCCGTCATTACCGGCGCTCTGAGCTCTTCACTCTACGGCGTCGCAGTACAGTATCAATGGCGAGCGTCTGCTTTCTACTTCGCATACGGTATCAACGGCTTCTCCTTCATAACGATGATGATTGCGAACACGCTTTGGGTTACCGAAGCTTTTCCACGCTGGGCTGCCCCCGCTATTGCTGTTGTTTTTGGAGGTTGTTACTTCCTCAGTTGGGCCATGAGCTTTGCGCTCGTACCGTGGATAGAGTCACACGGATACGTGTGGGTTGGTATTGAGCTCATGATTTTCCAGATCGTGGGCGGGTTGGTTGCTATGCCGGTGGCGTTCTGGGGTAAGAGCACAAGACAGGCCATCGCTGGTAGGTGGGCTGAAGATCGGAGTGGTGCGCTTCGGCCACTGTGAAGGATTGGGCTGTTAGAGCTGTAGTTGGGTGTCTGTCTTTGCTCAGGGCATGCTGTCTTGGGTATGGATGGGTGCGGATAATTTATAATCTCGAGCTGCCGCTCAGTGGTACTTTCATGCTCGTGTACCAGTGTATGGTTGTATGTTCCCAGAAGAGAGTCACCGAAAAAGCCCAATTGAACCCGTTTGTGTCCTTTGCACCGACAATGCATCCTCTCTTGACAGTCCAACTGAGTAGGTCAGTCATATTCGGGGAGATGAGACAATGACGGGACTGCCTACATTTAATACAGCCGAGATGTCTCTCTA